TTGTTTGTTTGTATGTTCGTTTGTTTTGAGATGGAGTCTCACTCTGTTCCCCAGGCTGGAGTACAGTGGCATGACCTCGGCTCACTGCAACCTCCGCCTCCCAGGTTCAATCAATTCTCCTGCCTCAGCCTCCCAAGTAGCTGGGACTGCAGGCACACGCCACCATGCCCAGCTAATTTTTTTGTATTTTTAGTAGAGACAGGGTTTCACCATGTTGGCCAGGCTGGTCTTGAACTCCTGACCTCTGGTGATCTGCCAGTCTCAGCCTCCCAAAGTGCTGGAATTACAAACATGACTCACCGCACCCAGCCAGATTACTGTTCATTTGTTACTCATTCATACCTATTGGTTATTCATTAAAAATAGCCCAGGTTTATGTTTTATTGGCCTTGTCTAGTGGCTTCCTCCATGTCCAGAGACTCTCTGCTCCTGATATGAAAGCATACTTAGTAATCAAATGTAAGCACGGTACAGAACTAGGCAATACAAATACTGACTTTCTATATAAGGTTTCTGTCTTGTAAATGTTGATAATGCTTATCAACTAAAGGGATAAAGTCCAGTCCTGCACCCAACACAGCTGACAATATGATCTTTGTAATCCACAAAATGCCATGTATAATTATCCTGACCATTCCTTCACTTTAAAAAAAAAAAAAATCAAACTGGCCGGGCACGGTGGCTCACGTCTGTATTCCCAGCACTTTGGGAGGCCAAGGTGGGTGGATCATGAGGTCAGGAGATCGAGACCATCCTGGGTAACACGGTGAAACCCCATCTCTACTAAAAATACAAAATATTAGCCCGGCGTGGTGACAGGGGTCTATGGTCCCAGCTACTTGGGAGGCTGAGGCAGGAGAATGGTGTGAACCTGGGAGGTGGAGCTTGCAGTGAGCTGAGATCGCACCACTGCACTCCAGCCTGGGCGACAGAGCGAGACTCCTTCTCAAAGAAAAAAAAAAAAAAATCAAACTATGACAAGAGAAAATTTGTGTTTCTTTAATAGAACCAAGCCAGGAAGGTCATAAAATCTAGTTGTGACAGGTTCCCTTCTCAGTAGGAAAAGTTTTTTTCCTAGTAGTGACTGACCTTTCTCATAATTTTTTTCACCCCTGTCAAACATTTCGAAGACTTAACACAACTCGTTTTGTTAGATGGAAAACACCTTGTGATTCAGGTAGAAATAATTCTTCAAGCAGAGGAATTTATATAACTGTGCCTTTTACCATCCATTAAGCAGTTTTTTTATGTTGGCCTACTTGCAATGTGTATTAATGTCAGTTTATAAGAGGAAACAACATTCAGCCTTTTCACTGCTTTATAATAAGAAATCACTATTTCAAATGACCTTCCCCGAATACCACTCTCTACTGAGTGCTGGAAGGAGCGTGGACAAAGATGAGTAAGACACTGCTCACGCTCTCTGTATGCACGCAGTCTGGTGCCTGCGATGACATCTACTCAATGAACTCAGTCAACTGGCAAACTGACAGAGTCTATAGCCATGGGGGAAACAGAGTACCTTGAGAATATGGGAAGATTAATTCCAACTGGGGGATTTGCTAGGGTGTGTAGTGACCACGTGGGGATGTCAGAGGAACGGGAAAACAACAAGATTAAGGGATGAAGAGAGACTTGAAACATTTAAGAATGGAAGTCTGGTTGAGGAATTCAGACTTAACCATGTAAGTCCTGGGATTGGAAGTAACAATGCTTAGAAGTGCGTTTCCTTAGCAAGATCTTATGTGTTCTTCATTTCATACAACGAACAACCTAAAATATATTATTTAAAGTCTACAAGAATCTCCAGACCCACCTTCTGTTGCTAATCCTCTTGGCCACTTTGTTCCTGTAAAAGCGCACTCATCTCCCACCAAATCCAATGGACTTTCTCTCCGACCCCCAGCATGTCTTGAGTTCTGCCACCTCTGTATCCCTCCAGCTCTGCTACCAGCCTGAAATCTTTGTCCAGTCTTCTCTAGCTATTCGATTTATACACTCAGCATGGTTTTTTTTGTTTGTTTGTTTTGGTTTCGGGTTTTTTTTGAGACAGAGTCTCGCTCTGTTGCCCAGGCTGTAGTGCAGTGGTACAGTCTCGGCTCATTGCAACGTCTGCCTCAAGTGATTCTCGTGTCTCAGCCTCCCAAGTAGCTGGGATTACAGGTGCCTGCCACCACGCCCAGCTAATTTTTGTATTTTTAGTAGAGCTGGGGTTTCACCATGTTGGCCAGGCTGGTCTTGAACTCCTGACCTCAGGTGATCCGCCCACCTTGGGCTCCCAAAGTGTTGTGATTACAGGCGTGAGCCACCGCACCTGGCCTTGCTTAGCATGTTGATTGAAATTACTCATATATATGTAATTAATATATAATAATATAAACACATATTTTTAGAACTGAGGACCTAGTATGTATTAAGCAGTGTGAAAGATAGAAAAGTATAACAGATCAGCTCACTGCTAATCGAGTTTACCGTCTATCTAAATTCTATCCATCCTTTGAGAGAGCTTTTCCAGACCAGAAGCCCAGCCTGTGAAATTTTAGGGTAAAATATTCCAGAGTGAGAAACAGCCTGTGCTAAGCCCTTGAATGCAAGGAAGGCAGTGGAATACAAGGATGCATGGTGAGCATCCCAGAGCCCCTCTTCAGAATGAGGTATTCGTTTCCCCAATGACTGTTGGTGATAATGGCTCTCCAGGATGAAAGAGAACCACCTTACCCAGGGGCAGCCCACATCGAATAACTACTGAATGTCTGGGTGAGGGGTGGGAATATGGAGCCTCACCCCCTCACCTCAAGGATCAGCCTAGCTCCTATCTCTTTGTGAGACGGGCTAAGGGCTTTGTTGGAAATGCATTACTTTTGCCCAATCCTATGTCCTTCACTGCTGGATAAACTTTCTACCTGCAAGTTCTTATCTCAGAGTCCCTGAGAAAGTGGACATAAGATAGTAAAATATATGATGATTTAAAAACATCAGCAACGGGCTGGATGCAGTGCCTCATGCCTTTAATTCCAGCACTTTGGGAGGCCGAAGCAGGTGGATCACGAGGTCAGGAGTTCAAGACCAGCCTGGCCAAGATGATGAAACCCATCTCTTCTAAAAATACAAAAATTAGCCGGGTATGGTGGCGGATGCCTGTGATTCCAGCTACTTGGGAGGCTGAAGCAGAGAACTGATTGAACCTGGGAGGCAGAGGTTGCAGTGAGCCGAGATCACACCACTGCACTCCAGCCTGGGTAATAAAGTGAGACTCTGTCTCCAAAAAAAAAAAAAAAAAAAAGCAACAAAAAAATAAAAAACAATAAAAAACAATAAAAGGAGATGAAATTTTGTCTAGAGAAAATTTTGAACTCCATGATATGGAATTTATTTATTTATTTATTTATTTTATTTTTTGAGACAGAGTCTAGCTCTATTGCTCAGGCTGGAGTGCCAGTGGCGCGATCTTGGCTCACTGCAACTTCCACATCCCAGGCCCAAGTGATTCTCATGCCTCAGCCTCCCGAGTAGCTGGGATTACAGGCATGCACCACCAGGTTTAGCTAATTTTTGTATTTTAGTAGAGATGGGGTTTCACCATGTTGGCCAGGCTGGTCTCAAACTCAGGACCTCAGGTGATCCACCCACCTCGGCTTCCCAAAGTGCTGGGATTACAGGCATGAGCCACCGTGCCCAAGCTGGAATGTATTCTTTATCCTATTGAACAGTTGTTTCCAAAGTGAAGTGGCTAAAAGGATGATAAGGAGTATCGGAAGAAATTATTTATTAATTATTCATAGTTTTATAAATGTCTTTTTTTCTGTTTTGTAATACAGATAACATATTGGTAAAAATAACACATCTAAACAATTTGAATACATATGTGTATAATAATATGTGTATATATATGTACACATATATACACACACATATATGCATATATATATACACACACATATATTTTGGTATGTGGTCTAATTTTTTCTTTTTTGGCCTCATTCTGTTATCCAGGCTGGAGTGCAGTGACTCACTAAAGCCTCAACTTTCTGGGCTCTGGCAGTCCTACCATGTCAGCCTCCCAAGTAGCTGGGACCACAGGCACAGGCTACCATACCTGGCTAATTTCTTAATTTTTGTAGAGACAGGGTCTCACTATGTTGCCCAGGCTGGACTCAAACTCCTGGGCTCAAGCAATCTTCCTGTCTTGGCCTCTCAAAGTGCTGACATTATATAGGCGGGAGTCGCTGCACCTCTAATTTTTATTTATTTTTTTAAACCAATATAAAGTTGCATGTAAAATTGAAGACCATACTATAAACAGTGAGAGAGTCATTGAGGTCTTATTTTGCAGAGGAGGATATGTTCACAATATAAATTATAATAATGGATAATAGTTCTCAGCTTTCTTCTTCTTTTTTTTTTTTTTTTTTGAGACAGTCTTGCTCTGTCACCCTGGCTGGAGTGCAGTGGCACGATCTTGGCTAACTGCAACCTCTGCCTCCTGGGTTCAAGAGATTCTCCTGCCTCAGCCTCACGAGTAGCTGGGATTACAGGTGTCCACCACCACCACACCTGGGTCATTTTTGTATTTTTTGTAGAGATGGGGTGTCGGTGTCACCATCTTGGCCAGGCTGGTCTCGAACTCCTGACCTTGTGATCCACCTGTCTCAGCCTCCCAAAGTGCTGGGATTACGGGCATGAGCCACTGCACCCGGATAGTTCTCAACTTTCAACCCAGGAGAATCCCCTGGGAATTATTAGAAAATACTGATGACCAGACCACACTCCAAATTAATTACATCAACTCTCTGGGGCAGGAACCAGCATCAATATTTTTCTTTTCTTTTGGTGATTCTAACGTGCCAGAGTTAACAACCACTGAATTAGAGTTATAATCAAGTTTGATATGAATTGGCCAATAAAATAGTATAATTTAATATTAAATATTAATTAAAACTATTAAATGTTCTCAAAAGTTACAGAGGAATAAAAGCGAAATATTTAAGAAGTTATTTTACCTTCAGTATTGAAAATAAATGGTTCTTCTCTTCACCAGTTGTTTTTACTTCCTTATAAAGCCTAGCTGTCACGTGATCCTCCTGACTCTGCGGAAGTCAGAGAAATGAAGAGTAACTCGCTCATTAAGAAGCCTTTTACACAAAACACTTTCTTATCTGTCAGAATTTGAGCTTTCTCAGACTCTCAACTTGTTTTCCCAAGTTTACACAATAATAAACTACACACAATGACCTTCTTACTCTTCTTTTGCCAACCGATTATTTAATACTGATTAGCTTTGAAATGCAAATAACCCTATCAAATAGCAAGCTACTTGCCTTCAACCAGACTAAGGCTGCATTAGAGTGAAAGTCAAAACTGTTTCATGCAAAGAAAAACAATAGTCTGTCAAAGGCCCCTAGATCTTCAATTTTTTCAGGATTATATTCAGGATATGAAATTCTTTGTACTGACTAACGGATTATCTTTTCTTCTAAATTCTTACGTTTCCAAACCCCCAATCCTGTGTTGACTTACAATTAACCCTTTGCTGACCATTAGTTGAACTTTCAAACCAAACATAATGCTTTCAGCATTTGTATTTACATCACAACATGACAAATGCTAGTAAGAGAGGGAATTTTTACAGAAAAATCTTATCTAGCCTATTACATTACGATCACTATTTGTTTTTCTTAAACAGAGAGTAGCAACTTCAGGGCTGCAAAATATCTTTGAGATTACTTAATTCACCCTCTTCATTTTACAGATACGCACCCAAGGTCTGGTATGCCTTTACTAGGTCATTGTTTGGGCTGAAAGAAACAGGGTTGGGTTGCTGAATAGTAAATTCCTGGTGGAATGGAAACTGAGCTGACATTGGCAGATGGGTATTAAACCCGCTGGAGTCCTTCGCCTGAAATTCAAGGCTTGAAAGAGTCGGAGGCTGACAAGATACCAAGACTGAGACTGACTGACTCTCTGTTTTTTCTTTTTCTTTTCTTTCATTTATGTATGTATGTATGTATGTATTTACTTATTCTTGAGACAGTAGCTCACTGTACCTTTCAGGCAATGATTATAGCTCACTGCAGCCTCAAACTCCTAGGCTTAAGCTATCCTCCCACCTCAGCCTCCCCAGTAGCTGGGGCTACAGGTGCACACCACTATGCCAGTTTTTTTGTTTTGTTTTAGGCAGGGTTTCTTTCTATCACCCAGGCTGGAGTGTAGTGGCTCCATCACAGTTCGCTGCAGCCTTGCCCTCCCGGGCTCCAGTGATCCTCCCACCTCAGCCTCCCAAGTAGCTGAGACTACAGGTGCATGCCACCATGCCCCAGCTAATTTTTGTATTTTTTGTAGAGATTGTGTTTCACCATGTTGCCCAGGATGGTCTCAAATGATCCTCCCACCTTGGCCTGCCAAAGTGTGGCGATTACAGGTGTGAGCCACCATGCCTAACCTGCCTGGCTTATTTTTAAATTTTCTGTAGAAATGGGGTCTTTCTATGTTGCCCAGGCTGGTATTGAACTCTTGGCCTCAAGCCATTGGGATTATAGGTGTGAGGCACTGCACCTGTCCAGGACTGATTTCTCAAAAGCAGCAGGAGTTGGTGGGGTTGCAGCCAGCTGGCCCAGCCCCTGACAGTACCTACCAAGGGACTGGGGGCTGCCCAGCACTGGCTGGTCCCAGGTGATCCGGTCAAACTGGGCATTCCTCTGCAATATCCTTGTGAAGAAACTGAATTAATATTTCAGTGGGATAGTTTAGAAATGACACAGACCTGGGGCAGAAATACAAGTCTTGCCACCAGCTATGGAAACACCATCGTTTGCTTTGTCTTTAAAATTATCTGCCATTAGAAAATCAAATAGTTGCCAGGGGCTGGGGGAAGGGAGGCAAGAGGAATTATTGTTTAACGGGTGTGGAATTTCAGTTTGAGAAGACAAAATAAGTTCTGAGGATAGGTGGTGGTGATGGCTGCATAACAATGTGAATGTACTTAATGCCACTTGCCACTGAACCACAGATTTAAAAATCATTAAAACGGTATGTGGTAGATTTTATGTGGTATATATTTTTTTAGAGGTAGAGTTGCATTCTGTCACCCAGGCTAGAGTACAGTGGTTCAGTCATAGCTCACTGCAGCCTCAACTTCCTGGGCTCAAGTGATCCTCCTACCTCAGCCTCCCAAGTAGCCAGGACTAAGGCATGTACCACCACACCTGGCTGGGTTTCTTTGTTTTAGTGATTGTTTGTAGAAATGGGATCTCCTATGCTGCCCAGGCTAAATGTTATGTTATGTATATATTACCACAATAAAAATATATCTGCTATTAGTGCTTTCTTTCTTTTTTTCTTGTTTCTTTTCTTTCTTTTTTTTTTTTTTTTTTTAGATAGGGTCTTGCTCTGTTGTCCAGGCTGGAGTGCAGTGGCATGATCATAGCTCACTGCAGCCTCTAACTCCTGGGCTCAAGCGACCCTGCTGCCTCAGCCTCCTGAGTAGCTGAGACTACAGGCACGTGCCACCACGCCCAGGTAATTTTTTTGATTTTTAGTAGAGATGACATTTCACTTTGTTGCCCAGGCTAATCTCAAACTCCTGAGCTAAAGTGTTCCTACTGCCTTTGCCTCCCAAAATGTTGGGATTAGAGGTGTAAGCCACCACGCTCAACCTGCCATTAGTTCTTAAATCACCATCTCTGTTTTGTTTTGTTTTTTTTCTTTGGGTTCAAGAGTTTTGCTCCTGTTGTCCAGGCTGGAGTGCAATGGCATGATCTCGGCTCACCGCAACCTCCACCTCCTGGATCCAAGCGATTCTCCTGCCTCAGCCCCCCGAGTAACTGGGATTACAGGCAGGCGCCACCACACCTGGCTAATTTTATATTTTTAGTAGAGACGGGGTTTCTCCATGTCGGTCAGGCTGGTCTCAAACTCCGTCCTCAGGTGATCCACTCCTCTCGGCCTCCCAAAGTGCTGGGATTACAGGTGTGAGCCACTGCGCCCGGGCCGTCTCTGTCTTTTAAATAAATTTCTCAGGCTGAGCACAGTGGCTCACACCTGTAATCCCAGCACCTTTGGAGGCCGAGGCAGGCAGATCACCTGAGGTTAGGAGTTCAAGACCAGCCCGGCTGACATGGTGAAAGCCCATCTCTACTAAAAATACAAAAATTAGCCAGACATGGTGGTGGGTGCTTATAATCCCAGCTACTCAGGAGGTTGAGGCAGGAAAATCGCTTGAACCTGGGAGGAGGAGGTTGCAGTGAGCTGAGATTGTGCCATGGCACTCCATCCTGGGTGACAGAGCAAGGCATCATCAAAAAACAAAACAAAACAAAACAAACAAACGAAAACCACCTCATATTCTCATGTATTTTTTTAAATGCCAAAATATTCAAGAAGTCTATGCTTTGAGAAAATCATTGCCAGACTGAAAATTACCTGATAATAACATCTCCGAGTAAATTTAAATTTTAAAACTTTTGTCAGAAGCAACCAGTACTCAAAGAACACAAAGATTTGTAAATTTCAGGGAAGCTAAAGTTTTCTAACAGCCTCGAAAATTTTATTTCCCAACACTACTTTCCCCAAAGAGGAGAGTTTTTGAGATGGAATCTCAGCTCTGTCACCCAGGCTGGAGTGCAGTGGCACAATATTGGCTCACTGCAACCTCTGGCGCATCCCGTGTTCAAGCTATTCTCCTGCCTCAGCCTCCCGAGTAGCTGGGATTACAGGCATGTGCCACCACACCTGGCTAATTTTTGTACTTTCAGTAGAGACGGGGTTTCTCCATTTTGACTAGGCTAGTCTCGAACTCCTGACCTCAGGTGATCCATCCGCCTTGGCCTCCCAAAGTGCTGGGATTACAGGCGTGCATGAGCCCCTGCGCCCAGCCAAGAAAAGATCTTAATACATAAATAAAATATAGAACAGTCTCTTTGTAAGTATTTCCAACACGTAAAAGAAAGGGGGGGATCTTTTTGGAGTTGTTGCAGTTTGTCATTTAAACGTAACTTTAAAGTAAAGAAAATTGAGTATTAGAGAAGCCAGTTTGTCCAAGGTTCGGAAGAACAGGGTTTTGGATTAGAACCTAAACCAATCAAACTCCAAATCCTCATTGCTAATAATTTTCTGTTGGCATGCAAATATGTTTCTTGCGTCAGGCTATGTAATAATTATAAATAATAGAGCTGGTATAGACGTAAGGTACTGACATTGAATAATTCCCCAAATAACTTTGAAGTAAACTGCTTTTACATAGTAGGAAAGAGCCCTCATAAAGCACTCAGCCCTGGAACATTCTTTCAAAAGCAAGACATCAAAAAAATCGAAACTAAAAATTCTCTATCAGTGAAAAGGAAAAGACCTTTTGCTGAGTGCAAAAGAGGAATCCTGCCAAGCACACAGAGTGAACTGTAACAAATAGATGCAGATATATATAGATAATTAGGCATGATGTAGTGAGTGTTTCACTGAACCTTGAACAGCTGTACACAGAACCTGAGAATTCTACACAGTTTCTATATTTAACCTCATATCAGGAAATTCCCAACCTGGTTTGAAGCTGTATGGCTCAGCCTGGGATATAAACTGGTATGAGAGTTTCAAAGGATCAGCAGGTGAATCAGAGCCAGGACAATAAAGAGAACAAGTACAGAGCTGTTTATCTTATTTCAGCTATGAGTTTTTCCAATACCCGACTGAGAAAGTGTTGAGAGTCAACACCCTTGTAGTCACGTATGGTCTACGTGTCTTGGTTTTCACATGCATCAGCAGCTGTACTTGTGTACATATGTACCCTTAGGGAAAGCCAGGCCTTGGGCAAAACTATGGGCAAACGCAGCCACAAATGTGTATAACCCCAGATCTGCTCCTTCTATCCTCTGGGAACTCCAGTTTTCCCATAGCCTTCCAGAATTGTTCTAGGAGGGACTAGAGACTATTTTTCATGAGCAACTGGGTCTAGTTCTTGTTATTAGATATGACTCAGATCACTTCCAGTCTGCAAAGCAGCAGCTGTGATGCCAGTGTTTGCTGAAAATGCTGCCACTGCTGTTGAACGTGCAGAGGTGTGCCATTTTGGGGCCAATGTCTGATGTAGACGAAAACA